CTCTACAGCTCGGAAAAGACATAAAGCTGTAGACACACAGCCGGAATTTGTCAGCCTGCAGTAGATAAAACCATGAGGACGATGTTGCAGCTGATGTGAAAAGCAGGACGGCGGTTCCTCAGAAAAACTGTGCATAGAATGACTGTATGATCCAGCAACTCCATTTCTGGGGATACACCCAGACCGAGAGTAGGAACTCAGACAGACATCTGTACACCTGTGGTCACAGCAGCACTATTCACAACAGCCAAAAGGTGGAGACAACCCAAGTGCCCGTCGATAGAGGAATGCATAAACAAAGTGTGGTGTGTTTGTGTGCGTATACGGTGGAATATTACTCAGCCTTAAAAAGCAAGGAAAACTCTGACACCGGCTACAACACGGTTGAACTCTGAAGACATTACGTTGAGTGAAATAAGCCGGTCACAAAAGGACAAATATTGTATGATTCCACTCACACAAGGAAATAAGTAGTCACACTCACAGAATGGTAGTCGCCAGCGGCTGGGAGAAGCAGAGAGTGGGGAGCCAATGTTTAATGGGGACAGAGTATCCACTTGGCAAGAGCGAAACTTCTGTGATGGGTGGTGGCGATGGCTTTGGAACAGTGAATATACTTAAGGCCATTGATGTGTACACTTAAAAATGTTTAAAATGGTAAATCGTGTTATGCGTATTTCATCACAATAAAAAAAGAACTTGATTATTATTATTTATTGAGTGCTTCCTATACGACCAGCACTCTTCTAGGTCTTTTCATTGTTTAAAACTCATATAACTCTCATAACAATCTTTAAAATAGATACAACATACAGGCAGTAACCTCTCGGACATTGGCCTTACCAAGATATTTATGAATCTGTCTCCTCAGGCAAGGGAAACGAAAGCAAGAGATAAAGTATTGGGACTACACTAACATAAAAAGCTTTTACACAGCAAAGGAAATCATCAACAGAGCAAAAAGGCAACCTGGAGAATGGGTGAAGATATCTGCAAATGACATATCCGAAAAGGAATGGACATCCAAAATACATAAAGAACTTACACAACTCAACAAACAACCAATCTAAAAATGGGCAGTGGAGAGGTGCATGGGTGGCTCAGTCGGTTGAGCCTCCTGACTCTTGATTTCGGCTCAGCTCATGGGTTCGAGCTCCATGTCCGGCTCTGTGACAGCAGTGCAGAGCCTACTTAAGATTCTCCCTCTCTCTCTGCCCCTCTCCTTCTCACAATCTCTGTCTCTCTCAAAATAAATAAACTTAAAAAAAAAAAGAAAAAGGGCAGTGGATCTGAATAGACATTTTTCCAAAGAAGATATCCAGATGGCCAGCGGATGCATGAAGACACTCAACATGACTCATCATCAGGGAAATGCAAATCTAAACCACAGAGATACCACTTCACACCAGTCAGAATGGCTAATATCAAAAAGACAAGAAATAGGGGCCCCTGGGCGGCTCAGTCGGTTAAGCATCCGACTTCGGCTTAGGTCATGATCTCACGGTTTGTGAGCTCAAGCCCCGAGTCAGGCTCCCCACTGTCATCACAGGGCCCACTTCGGATCCTCTGTCTTCCTCTCTCTCTGCCCCTCCCATTCCCTTGCTCACGTGTGCACTCTCTCTCTCTCTCTCAAAAATAAAATATTTTTTTAAAGACAAGAAATAACAAGTATTGGTAAGGAAAGGGAACATTCGTGCGCTGTTGGTGGGAATGTAATTGTTGCAGCATTATTTACAACAGGCGAGATACGTAAGCCACCCAAATGTCCATCAATAGATAAATGGATAAAGAAGACGTGGTGTCTACACACAGTGGAATATTACTCTGCCACAGGAAAGAATCTTGCCACGTGTGACAAGGATGAACCTAAAGTGCATCATGCTAAGTGAGCTATGTCAGACAAAGAAAGCCAAAGAGCATTTAAGTTCACTTATCTGTGGAATCTAAAAGCAAAACAAATCAACAAACCAGAAGCGGAGTCAAAAAAACAGAGCATAATTTAAAAAAAGAAAAGAAAGTAGGTACAATATGATCAGCCCCATCCTACAAACAAGAAAACGTATGGCCAGAGTCGTTAAGTAATGGGCCTAAGCTCACACAGCTTCCAACCTGTGGGGTTCCGATTTGGATTCAGGCAGTCTGCTAGCAGAGCCAAAAACGAAATTTTTTTTAACCTACTGTACTGCCTATCAACGGAGATCACGTCATGTACTATAAAAAAACACATTTCACGATTTAAAACAAAAAGAAACTTTTTAAATATAAGGCTGAATTAACAGCTCACAGGCGGCTAGGTCATGGCCTTTCACCATAGTCCTATCCGGCAGCCCAGTGTGAAGTCAGCCAGCAGAGGAAGGGAGGGGACAATTCCGGGTGACAAATCATTTCACCTCCTTTGAAAAACCTGCTCTGTGACCAGAGTCATCCCCCGGAAATACTGACAGGAGGGTGTCCTGCTGTGCGTGGAGGAGGGAGACTTCCCAGCCATCAGGAACCCACAGGCAGCTCTGGCTGGGGCCGTCTGGATCACTGAGGCGGACGGGAAACGGGCCAGGGCCAGGTGACAGGATGTGCAAGGCGTCCCTCCCTCAGGTCCTCGTCACCTGAGCAAGCAGAGCAGCCCGTGGTGTGCTGCGAGGGGGGAAGGCAGCAGGGCGTCCCCACCTGAATGACCTGCTCTGGTGGGGGTGGGGCCCAGGCCCCACAGCACTGACAAGGGGCCCCCTTCCTCAGCCTCCTGTTGGGCATGAACCCCAACTTGTCCCCAAGGCAGAATTTACCTGGGTCAATCACATTCCTTACCTTTTGGGCCCCTTTCTGAGCTGGGAAGGGCTCTGGCTCCCGTGACAGAGGCTGGGGCAGCGCGTGAGGAGGGAGCCCTGCTCCCAGGGGAGAAGAGGAACGGGGTGTGCAGCCCCGGAGGAGGAAATCCGAGAGAGTCCCAGTCAGTCTCCATGCCCAACTCAGAGTCCAAGACAGGCCTTGATTTCATGACCAGTTTAAAAAGCAGGGACACCGAGGGCGCCTGGGTGGCTTAGTCGGTTAAGCGGCCGACTTTCGCTTAGGTCATGATCTCGTGGTTCGTGGGTTCGAGCCCCGCGTCGGGCTCTGTGCTGACTGCCGGCTCAGAGCCTGGAGCCTGTTTCCAATTCTGTGTCTCCCTCTCTCTCTGACCCTCCCCTACTCACGCTGTCTCTTTCTCTCCTAGAAATAAATAAAACATTAAAAAAAATTAAAAATTTAAAATTAAAAAAAAAAAAAAGCAGGGACACCGGGGTGGCTCCGTCTGTTAAGCGTCTGACGTTGGCTCAGGTCGTGATCTCACAGTTTGTGGGCTCAACCCCCACATAGCACAGGCTGACAGCACAGAGCCGGCTTCAGATCCTGCGTCTCCCTCTGTCTCTGCCCCTTCCCCACTTGCGCGCGCGCCCTCTCTCTCTCTCAAAAATAAACATTAAAACAAAACAAACAAACAAACAAAAAACCGACCAATCCACATCTTCTTGCTTCACTTCTCTAAGCACAGAGCCTTCGGCATATACTGCTCACCTACCCACCCCTTCTTCCTACCTCTAACTACTCCATAACTGTTTCTGTCCAGAGGCGTCTGGGATCCTCAAAAATGGACACAAGCACATATTAACGGACGTGTATGCATATTACACGATTTGTTAGAGCCGCCATTAACCACACAGCACAGCTTGGGCGGCTCACACAACGCAAATGTATTTTCTCTGGGGGCTGGAAGCCCAAGATCAAGGGCAGGCAGTGTTGGCTTCTCCCTCCCTGACTCGCAGATGGCTGCAGCTCATTGTGGCCTCGCCTGGTCTTCCCTCCACATGCGTCTATGTTAGTCAGTTTGGGTGCCGTAACAAAGGATCATAAAGCAGGTGGCTTGCAAATACCGGATGTATATTGCTCCCGTTTCTGGAGGCTGAGGTCCCAGGTCAAGACAGTAACAGACCCAGTGACTGGTGAGGACCCACCTCCTGGTTCTCCGTGTCCTCACACGGTGGAAGGGCGAGAGAGTAGTGCCGTCTCTCTTATAAGGGCACCAATCCCGCATTTTGGAGGATACTCACTGGGATGAGCGCTGGGTATTATACGGAGGGGATAAATCACTGGATTCTACTCCTGAAATTATTATGTAAATATGCTAAGCAACTTGGATGTAGATTTAAAAAAAAAGAGTGAATGGCAATCCTATTAGTATAATGAGATTATGGTTTTCTCCATTTTCTATGTTTTGTTACTGACTATATCCTTTTTACAATAAATATGTCAAATTTGTAAAAAAAAAAAAAAAGAGAGAGAGGCTCTTAAAGATAGAGGACAAACTGAGGGTTGATGGAGGGAGGTGGGGGGGGATGGGCTAGATGGGGGATGGGTATTAGAAGGGCACTGGGTGTTGTTGTAGGCAAGCAATGAATCACTGAATTCTACTCCTGAGACCAATATTGCATGATATGTTAACTAAGTAGAATTTAAATAGAAAGGTGAATCTAAATAAATAAATAAATAAATAAGGGCACCAATCCCATTCACAAGGGCACCTGATCGAATCACCTCCCAAAGGCCCCACCTCCTAGCAGCAACACCTTGGGGGTCAGAATGTAAGACTTTTGGGGAACACAAACACTTGATCCACAGCAGCATCTGTGTCCTAATCTCTTATTTTATTTTTATTTTATTTCTATTTATTTATTTTTTGAGAGAGAGAAATGGAGGGGCAGAGGGAGAGAGAGTTCCAATCAGGCTCCATTGCCCAACTCAGAGTCCAAGACAGGCCTTGATCTCATGACCGTGAGATCTTGACGTGAGCCGAAATCAAGGGTAGACGCTTAACTGACTGAGCCACCCAGATGCCCTCTCATCTCTTCTTATAAGGACATCAATTCCACCCATATCTCAGGACTTTATCTAAATCTCCTCTTGAAGGCCCTATCTCCAAAGGCAATCGCCTTCTCAGGGACTCGGGGTTGGGACATGAACATACAAACCTGGAGGTGCGGGAAGCAATCCAGCCCATGACAGTATGTAACGGTTCGGAGGTTCTGTTGCACACAACGTTAGCACAAGTCCGATCAATAATGCTTTGTTTCACTTCTTGGAAATAGCTCAATTTTTAGTAAGGGAGGTAGAGAATCCACATCGCTTTGTCTTCTTCATTTCTATTCTCGCGGCTTGTAAATGAACGGGACCTACAGTAGTTCAAATCCGTATTTGTTAACTACGGTTTTCTCCTAAATTTGTTTTAACATTTTGGCTCTATGATCCCTCCCCGAAGCAAGGCGGATAGCAAAAAACAACCCCGCACGTCACCATCATCTGTAGCAATGAGCAAGATGTCGAGCAACAGCACCCAGCCTCCGTGGACATTGTTGACCGCCATCGTGCAGAATCCCACCGCACAGTAAAGGCCAGTGGTAACATGGGATGCATTCCCTCATTGCTGTTGCTCTTTTCATCAGGATTTCACGTTGTTGAAAGCATCCTTTATACTGAAATCAGAGTCTTGCTTTTTCCTGTTACATTTTATTATACACTTTTCCTAACATCATTAAAAAAGATCCATTGACAGGTGGAATGGTTGCATAACAGTGCATCCATGGCGTTTCAGGCCACAATTCAATCAGTCATGGCCAATTGTTAGACATTTACGTTGTTTCCAAGTTTTTTCTTCTTTTTAAAAAAATTTTTTTAATGTTTTATTTATTTCTGAGAGAGACAGCGTGAGCAGGGGAGGGTCAGAGAGAGAGGGAGATACAGAATCAGAAGCAGGCTCCAGGCTCTGAGCTGTCAGCACAGAGCCCAACATGGGGCTCCAACCCACGAACCGTGAGATCATGACCTGAGCTGAAGTCAGATGCTTAACCGACTGAGCCACCCAGGCACCCCTCCAAGTTTTTTCTCCTTAAAGTTTGTTTATTTTGAGAGAGACAGAGAGAAAGAGCATGTGTGCATGAGGGAGAGAGAGGGAGAGAGAGAGAATTCCGAGCAAGCTCCACACTGTCAGCACAGAGCCCAATGCGAGGCTCGAACTCACGAACCATGAGATCATGATCGGAGCTGAGACCAAGAGCCGGATGCTTATCTGACTGAGACCTTCAGGCCCCCCAGGATGTTTTCAGTTTTTAACAAATACAAATACTGCTGACGATCATCTTTGGCACACCCCCGCGCCTGCATTCTGATTATTTCTTCCGGCTACATTCCTATAAATAAAATTACTGCATCCAACATGCACACATTTGTCCCTAAGGCTTTTGGAAAACAGATAAACAGCTGTCTTCCCAAGTCTGTGACTTCGTGGGTCAGGCCCTCCCTTGATGCTAATCAAACATTCGGTCCTACGTTCTTACCAGGAAATCTTCACCCTCTGCCCACCTCTCCACCCGAGCGCAATTCGGGCCTCCCGTAATTACAGGGTGCTGTGACAGGTATGGGGCATAAGAAGGCAAAGCAGTTGGTAGGAGGGGAAGGGTGAGGAGGGCACAGAAACACTGGCGCCCGTGAAGCACTGCCCCCCGCCCAGGGCTCAAAGGGTTTCAGACATACGATCACAGGTCTGTTATTTTGCTTTCAGATCCAAACAGAAACCACACTCATTGGTGTGTATTTGTGCATTCACCGTGTTCCTGTTTTCTTGATAGTCCCTAACATGGCTTTTATATTTGGGACTTCTGATTCATGCAGAAGACAAAAAGCCCCAAATTGAGTTTATTTATCTCTCACCCTTATGACGCATGGGACGAAAAGAGGAAGGACAGTCCCATTCTGAGAGCAGAGAAGCCAAGTGACCCAGCACAGGACGCCCCAGCCAGAGTGGGGATTCCGGGCAGAAGCCCCGAGTGATAGCAACACACCAGGCAGGTTGCTTCCTTTCAACGTTCCCTGCTTTCACCTTTTTGCATGAACACATTCACAATTCTGACCTTGTAGACACTACTTCTGAAAAGAATTGTAACAGAATAATGGCTCCCCCAAAGACAGTCACATCCTATTGGCAAAACCTGTGAGTAAATTACCTCATGGGGCAGGGTGCCTGGGTGGCTCAGTGGGTTGAGCGACTGACTTCGGCTCAGATCATGATCTCACAGTTCATGGGTTCGAGCCCCGCATCGGGCTCTGTGCTGACAGCTCAGGGCCTGGAGCCTGGAGCCTGCTTCAGATTCTGTGTCTCTCTCTCTCTCTGCCCCTCCCCCGTCTGCTCTCTCTTGTGCATGCTCTCTCTCTCTCTCTCTCTCTCTCAAAAAAATGAGTAAAGATTTTTTTTAAAAAAAGATATTTTTAAAATATTACCTCATGTGACAAAAGGGATAGACTTTGCAAACATGATTGAATTACCGGTCTGGAGATGGGGAGATTACCCTGGAATATTAGGTAGACTCACAAGGGTCCTTACAAGAGGGAGTTAACACTTCAGCGCATCAAAGGATGCCATCAAAAGAGTGAAAAGACAACTCAAGAATGGGAGAAAATATCTGCAAATCATGTCTGATAAGGAATTAATACCCAGAATATGTAAAGAACACTTACAACTCAACAACAAAAAGACAACTCAATTAGTACACGGGCAAAGGACGTGAATGGACATTTCTCCAAAGAAGATATGCAGACACCGAACAAGCACGGGAAAGGATGCTCAATGTCACTCGTCATTAGGGAAACACAGCCACAATGAGATATCACTTCACGCCCACTAGGACACCTGTGATCAACAGGACAGAACCACATGGTAGCAAGCATGTGGAGTAGTTGGGACCCAGATACACTGCTGGTGGGGACGTAAAATGATGTAGCTACCAAGGAAAACATTTAGCAGCTGCTCAAAACTCTATACACAGTGGGGTGCCTGGGTGGCTCAGTCGGTTAAGTGGTTAAGTGTCTGACCCTTGATTTTGGCTCAGGTCATGATCTCTCAGTTCATGAGTTCGATCCCCACATCAGGCTCTGCACCATCAGTGCAGATTCTCTCTTCCTCTCTCTCTGCCCCTCCCTGGCTCATGCTCTTTCTCTCTTAAAATACATAGATAAGTATTTTTTTTTAATACCTGAACTTAGAGGCTCCTGGCTGGCTCAGTCTGTAGAGCATGTGACTTTTGATCTCAGCATCCTGAGTTCAAGCCCCACATTGAGTATGGAATGTGGAGCCTACTTAAAAAAAAATCTAAACATAGAATTTTCACATAAGCCCAGAATTCTACTTCTAGGTACATATACAAATATATATATTTTTTGGGTACCCAAAATAATGTGAAACAAAAACAGGAACTTCAACAGACACTTCTACTCCAGTATTCATAGCAGCATGATTCACAACAGCCAAAAATTGGAAACAACCCAAGCGTCCATCAGTAGATGAACAGATAAACAAACGTGGTGTGTGTGTATATATGGAATATATACACGTGGGTGGAATATTACTCACCCATAAAAGGACTTGGATACAGCTGGGATGAACCTTGAAGGCCTACCCCATGAGTCCATGTATGTGAACTACATAGAATGGTCAACGCATAGAGGCAGCATGTGGACCTGCAGTCACCATCAGGTGGGGGAGGAGGGAATGGGGGTAACTACTCAGAACGTGCAGAGTTTCCACTTGGGGAATGAAGGGCTTTGGAATGAGTGCTGACAGTGCACTACCTTGGGAATGTAACTCATGCCACTGAATGGTACACTTTAAAAAATAGCGACATGATATAGTTTATATTATGTACATATTAAATGACAGCGTATAGGGCACCTGGGTGGTTCGGCTCAGGTCATGATCTCACGGTTCGTGGGTTTGAGCCCCGTGTCGGGCTCTGTGCTGACAGCCAGCTCAGAGCCTGGAGCCTCCTTCAGATTCTGTGTCTCCCTCTCTCTCTGACTCTCCCCTGCCCACGCTGTCTCTCTCTCTCAGAAAGAAATAAAACATTAAAATAATAATAATCTATAAGGTGGGGAGATAATGTACTGAAGAGGATCCTGAGAGATGCAAAAAAAAAAAAAGAAAAGAAAAGAAAAAAAACCCAGCATGTCTGGGGGCATCTCGGTGGTTCAGTCAGTTAAGTGTCTGACTTCAGCTCAGGTCATGATCTCACGGTTGGTGGGTTTGAGCCCCATGTTGGGCTCTGTGCTAAACAGCTCAGAGCCTGGAGCCTGCTTCAGATTCTGTGTCTCCCTCTCTCTCTGCCCCTCCTCCACTTGCGCTCTGTCTCTGTGTCTCAAAAATAAATGTAAAATAAAATTAAAAATTACAAAAACAGCATATCCAGAGGATGTCTACATCTGCACAAGTGACACGTAGTGATCTAACAGCATGAACTTCCGAGCACCTACGGAACTTTGCTGTCTGGCCCCGGCATCCCTCTCCGACACCTGGTCTGATGATGTTTCTCTTAAAACACCGGCCTATAGCTGGTTTCAATTCCTCATTTTCTCTATGCCGCATTCTGAAGCGGCCTCTTATCCATTTATCGCCTTTCCATGACTTTGCTCTCTGAACTCTCTAACTTAGTCAAGTTACAGACAGGTGCGGCAGGCTCCGAGCCAGGGGCTGCGGACGACCTTCCCGTGGTGGCCCTGGGCGGGCACCAGGGCTCTGCTGCTGGGGTCTGTCAACGATTATCCTCGCTGAGACCGAGCCTGGGGACTGGGCCACAGGGGCCCATGGCGGAGGCTGTGGAGTCTGATGAGCCCAGAGGTGCCTCTTTTTTATCGTAGCGATGGACACATAAAACAGAGGAGAAGTGGAAACCAGGCGGGACCCAACTGCCCGAGGCATTATTTACCGCTTTGCCGAATCCCATCTTCCCAAGAGCCACCTGATGGCCTTGGGTTTCTAACACTCTGCTTACAGGCTAAGGTAAATAAAGACGTGGTAGATACACCTGCCCTTATGATCTTCCTGTTCTCCCCATGAAATTCTCTCGGCAGACACAGTGGATCGGGAAACGACAAACCAAAGAGAACTTTGTCAACAACAACAACTAGGTAGGGACGCCTGGGAGGCTCCATCAGTTAAGCGCCTGACCCTTAGTTTTGGCTCAGGTCATGGTTTCACCATTCATGGGAGGGATCCCCACATCAGGCTCTGTGCTAACAGCGAAGAGCCTGCTTGGGATTCTCTCTCTCAACCAAAATAAATACATTTTTTAAAAATCTTAAAAAACAGGGGCGCCTGGGTGGCTCAGTCGGTTGAGCATCTGACTTC